GTTTGAAAGAGAAATTGTCAGAAAAACTTTGAGCTCCATGGCAGCTGTAAATATGACTGCCTGGAGAATAGAGAGACATTTTATGCAGAGGCTGCATATTATTGAGAACCGGTATATTATAAAACTGGCAACGGAATTTGTCTGATTAAAACACCCGTGCAAGAACTTAACAACCATAATCGTAATTCCGTAAAAATAATAATATTTATACTTGCATAGAAATTCTGTGTTTTTTTTCCTATAAGCTGTTCTATCTATTGTTTCATTCAGTTCTCATCACAAGCCAGCAGGGTGTGCTGGGAAGATATTACCATTAGATCTACGCTGAGATCCAGAGAGAGAGATTGTCCAAGGTGTTACAGGGAAGAAAAACCAAAACAAAACTGGATCTGGTGCCCAGGTCAGTTCATGGAACAGTAAAATTTCAAAAAACACAAACCAACTATTATCTACCATTACCATTATTTCATAAAAGAAAAGAAAGTATTTTAACATCCTAAAATGTAAGAACATTATCTCAGAATAAAGGACAGACTCAGTAAAGGACTTTATTCCTGGTGAGTGTTCAGTGTTGGCCAGGAATAAAGGGTGTGGTTTGAGCTTTACTTGGTGGCTGGCAGCTGCCCACCAATCCCCAGCACTTCAAGGTCCTCATTTTCTCATGCGGCCATGGACCAGTGAAAACTCGGTCACGGTCTTGTGTTAGGGAACCAGTGTGTTCTACTGTGTTTCCTCTTTTCGAGGTAGCACCTGTTGCCTGGCTTTGAGTGAGAGCTGAACTGGAGGTTACTTTTAATGAAAAGGCCCTTGATGTGACCCAGGATAATAGCTATGTTGGTCATATTTTCTAGGCTGAGAAGAAACATGGTTTTTCAAGTAAAAGTGCTTTGGGGGACAATGGAAGAATGTTTGAAAGAGAAATTGTCAGAAAAACTTTGAGCTCCATGGCAGCTGTAAATATGACTGCCTGGAGAATAGAGAGACATTTTATGCAGAGGCTGCATATTATTGAGAACCGGTATATTATAAAACTGGCAACGGTGGGATAATTAATCTAGAATTGCTAGTAATTGTAACAACGAGTTGCAGGGTTCCTTCATAGAGAATGATATTCTATATGTATCAGAAATAATAAATGACAGTAATCACACACCTGTCCCAGTCATAGGACGGAACATGCAGACAAATTCCCCTCTTTCTTTAGATGACTACTGCCCCACAAGCAGAAGACTATTTTAACTGTTTTATGATGATCTCTAATACAGACACTCAATTACATTTTATAGGCTAAAAATACCACCCAAATTCATACATGATTTCTCACTTTTAAGTTTAGCAAAGATCAAAAAGAATGAAGATACTGTTGGGGTTTTTTTTGTTTTTTTTTTTTTGTTTTTTTTTTGTCTTTTTCCATGTCCGGCAACGGATCGCAACCCTCAGTGTTGCCCCCGTACCGGACTGGGGACCGGCAACGGGATTGCAACCCTCGGCGTTGCTCCCGCGCCTCGCTCAGCCAGTGAGCGGGAACCGGTCTGTATGTGGGATCCGAACCCTCGGGCGGGAGCGCCGCCGCGCTTCCCAAGCGGCGCACTATCCAGTGCGCCACCGGGCCGGCCCATGAAGATACTGTTGTAAAGGCATAGAGAAATACACTTTTATTCACTATTGTTAGTTCAAAATTTGGGGAGGGAAATTTAGTAGTAGCAATCAAAATTTCAAGGACACAACTCCTTTCTATTCAGAAATTTCATTTCAGGAATTTACTGGTTTACTTAGAGTCTACAAAAGATATTTATGGAAGTATTTGTGACAGTTAAACCGAAAGAAATGGCCAGAGAATTTTGATAGATGTTACTGAATTTCCCTCCAAAAATGTTGAACCAGTTTACACTCACACCACCTCCCCCCTTAAAAAATGTCCATCAATATATAGCTGGTTAATTGAATTATAATACTTATAATATACTATTAATTAGCTGTTCAAAGAAGAATATAGTTAATTTTTACATACTAACAAAGAAAGATGTCCATAAAATAGCATTAAGTAAAACCCACAAAGCAAGTTGGTAGAATGGCATATGTAGCCATGAAAATGTATGTGTGCATGTATGTGTGTGTATAGGTATGTACTGTGTCAGTGTATGTATGTGTGTGTATAAACATACACGTGTACTCATAGACATACAGTATATACTGAACTCACTCATGACAGTGTCTGTTTCTGGGGAATAGGTTAAGGTTGGAAGTGGGAGATTTTGACTTCATACAATTCTGAACTCTTTGATCTTGCTTTTCCTGGTGAATCTGTATTACTTTCAAATGAAATCGTAACAGAATACTATTTCCCCTTTCCTCTTAGATTTTGAGTGGCAAATGCAGGTATGTACAATTTCTATTCTCTTTTTAAAAAAATAGTTTGAAAATTTTTGTTGTACAAGAAGTTTTAGGATTCTAGCTTTTTCTTTCCAAGTGCCAATTGAAAACATCATTTTAAAGCAATAATTGGAAAAGTAGAAATCAAAATATGGAGAACAGATGTGGCATCCTAAAGAACTAGGGCTGTGTTTTGTAGTTTCTCATTTGGATTTCTCTGAGCATATCCTGGTGCTTCTTAGCTAAATGGTTATAGAGCTGATTTTCCTGCTTTGGAGTTTGCTAGGCACCTTGAATGAGCATATCTCACCTTTCCTGCAGTGAGAAGGAAAATCAAAGTTCCCTGAGTACCGCATCGTGTTCCCAGAATGTGGACCTAACCACCATGGATTCTGGCCACTAGTGAGAAAGGGCTACGTGCTAAAGAGGTTGCGACTTGCTGGGTAACAGAGCACTTTATTGTTCTTTCACGTAGCACAGGTTGACTTATTTTATATAATTAAGTATCTAAATAGAGTCTAACTTACTTTTTGATTTTGTTCATTATTCCACCTTCATTGTTCTTAATACCATGGACCATCTTTTGAAGCTGCCTATAAGAAAAAAAATTACACGCAAAACATTAATAACCAGGCTGATTTTTTAAAAAGTCTTCTACCCTTTTTCAATACAAAAAAAAAGAGAAAAACCCTACAACAAAACCTCCAAATAGCATGAGTTGTATTGTACTTAATTAAGTTGACCATCTGCTACTTGAATAAAGGGAAAACATGACTGTTTCTATGAGGAATGTGGTCACTGGGCCATGTCCCCATCTGCTGGGGTGCCTGGGCCAGTCTTAGTCTGTGAAGAAAGGAATTTTGATTCCCGGATCTGTCTCTCTGAGGAGACATGTGAGGCAAAAGTCCTCTGATCCTATCATAAGCCTCACTGTTTGTCCTTTATTGTCCTTACAACATCTGTATTGCAAGGGTGGGTGCTACTCAGAGGACCCAGCATAGGCTGGTATCAGTCCCAAGATTTTTTTTACTTTACTAGAGAAAATCTAGAAAAATCATCATTTAAAAGTTATACATGCACCAAAGCCATAAAGAAAATGACTAATGAATCTGATTGCATAGATATTTGACATTTCTGTAGAATAAAAAGTAATATGTACAAAATCAAACAATAAATGACATGCTAGAGGGAATATTTGTAACACATAATAATAATAATAATAAAAAGGAATACATGTCTCGATTTATAAAATAATCTTATAACTCAATAAGAAAAAGATGAACAATTCAGTAGAAAAATGAGCAAAAGATATGAACACATAACTAACAGAAATAAATACAAGTGGAATAAATACCAATGGAAAGATATTTAATATCATTTATATTTAAACAAATCTAAATTAAAACAGCAATGAGAGATCATTGTTTTGCCTATCAGACTGGTAAAATTTAACACATGTGATAATACCCAGTATTGGAAAGGGTTCAAGAAATACAGATATTGCTGGGAAGGTAAATTGTTACAATCAATGTCTGTCAAAATTTAAAATGCCCATGACTTTTGACCCAGCAATTCCACTGCTTTTTGTATTTGCCTTATGAACATGGTCACAAAACTATACTATTATATACATATAAGCAAGTCTGTTGTAGCATTATGTGTAAGAACTCTAATCCTCCCTGATTGCACCCTCCCAAAAACCCTGAAATCCTTTTTTTAAAAAAAAGAAATATACATCTGTATTGCTGATTAAAAAATACCTCGAGAGATATTGTTAAGTATTAAAAAATGGGGGAGGAGAAGAAAGAAAAGGAGGAGGAAGGAAAGTTCAAAATAGTGTGTATCACATGCTGTCTTTGTGGGGAAAGAAAGGATATATACATACATACACACATGTGCTGGTATGTGCATAACTTTTTAGAAGGATATGCAAGAAATTTTTTTTTTTTTTTAAGATCTCATTTGGCTTTATTGAGATTCTAGAACTGGGCAACACTTTATTCCATAAAATAGAGTAAGTGTTCCTGCAAGAAGCTGTTAAAAGGCAGTTTTCTGAGCCAATAGACTGTGTTTGGGCAAATTAGAAAAAGATGTCCCTAATTTTTGGGTGGATGCTGCCCAGTGCGAGGGAGCACCCTTGGTGAACAGAACAAGGATCAATTTTAGCCCCCGCTTGTCCTCTATAGCTGGGGACCTTTGTGTAGGACACAGCCCAGTCAACTTCAGAGTGAGCATCTGGGGGCTGGGAGTGGGTGTGGGGCTTCTACTTTATAAAAAGGAGACTTTAACTTTTTAATTCTGATGAAGATTTTTTTGTATTATTTAAATATTCAGAGCATGTGCATATATCACTTTTATTATCTGTATTATATACATACATAAAGAAAAACAGTAACAGGGTGGGAATATAGGGCCATGTTTTGTTTCTGACTTAAAAAACATATATAATAAAATTTCACATGGTTCTTCCTAAAAGAGTAGGATATTTGTATTCACCTTTCAGGCAAGCCTTTTCTTTGTTCTTAGAAAACTATTTGATTGGACATGTTGGTAATGAAATGTGAAGCTTGTATATGCCCAATGTTCTTAGAGGAAAATAGTGATTTCCCCATAAACTTGAGTGCAGATTCTCTGACTCTGGGAGAGAGGCCTTCTGTTAGGTAATATGATTCATGGTGCATAGGTCTATGAAATTCTGTTGGTTGGGGGGATCTGGGAGAAATATTCCCTTGGCTCTGTATGGATTTAGAATGTATGCTGCAACGTATTGCTTTATGGTGTGGCTATGGAGAGCTTTAGCAGATGAGAGGACACTGATAGACGAACTCCACCTGCACTGGCCTGTCGGTGTCCTCCACTAAGTGTTAATTTAAGGCTAAATAACACAACTATGCTGGGTTCTACTGTTATAGTCTTATTGAGGGCAGGCCATTGGGCGTGTAGGGGCGGAGAGATATTTATTGGGTAGGGCATAGATATTCCTACTCTCAGTCATCTTGGGAAAAGGGAGATTCTCAAACATGAAATGGGAACTTAGATTGGGGGTTTGGGGGAGCCCCTTCTATGTCTAGTGGCTGTTAGGAGCTAGAGTGCTGAAGAATGTGGACAAACCGGAGGGACTTTCAATGGTGGGGGTGGGGAGATGGTGGGGTGGGCTGGTAGCCTCAAACCTGAGGCTGGGTCTCGGCCTCAGCTCTGAGAAGAGCCATACCCGGCACCGTCGCTAGCTATTTTCAATGAGATAATTCCTCTCCACTCTCCTTGAATCTTCAGTCCTATTTGTCAGCGGTTGCAGCCCGCCATCGGTTGGGCTTTGGGGAAGGAGTGTTCCATTGGCATACAGGCTGGAGGGCAGAGGGAGGACAAGCTGCAGGGTGGAGTAGGAGGAGAAGAGAAACTTCTTTTAGGACATCCTTAAGGTTGCATTTTGGGGAGTTATCTACATAAGTAAGGGACCCAGTGAGGGGCTCAAGTTCAAATGTGTGTGTCTGTGAGGAAGATCTGATGCCAAGTCATTGTCATTTGGGTAATAAGGGAAATGCACCCACATTTTATATTACCCAGTTAGGGAGCTGGGCATACTGAATACATATGTGTAAGAGCTCAGCAAAGCTCAGAATTATGGGCTCAGTAGCAGAGCAAAAGGGACAGAATGAGAAAGCAGGGGGCCACCTCAGAGACACATGGAGGGTCCCTCAAGCTGGCCCCTTGAGTTGCCTCAGAACCCTACAATTTTCTGGAGTTTGCTCGTGTATATCTTATGCCAAACCCCTTTCTCCTTTCCCTGAGGAACTAGAGAATCTTTAAGATAGAGGAAAGAAGGGGATGAAAGATAAGGGGTCTGGGAGTGGGGAGAAAGAGATTGAGAGAGGTGAGACAGATTGGTTGCGAGGAAATTCAATAATACCAAAGGGAGAGCAGAGGGCGACCCTGGTTGTAAGCTAACTGCAACCGAACGGAGAATCTTTAGCCTTAGTTAGTGCTTAACCAGGTTGTAGGGCAAAATGAGCCAGCAGTCAGGATCCGATCAGAAATTTGGCAAGAGGGGGATGGATACAAGCGGAGTAATAGGGAACCACGGGCAATTTATAGAAGTGACTTTGCTGTGGATGTAAACAGACAGATGTAAATTGTTGCAGAAGAGTTGCAATTTTGTCATTTGCTCAACTTGCCATTTGATGCTTCTTGGCATTTCTAATTACTTTTTATTATAGATTATTATATAATAATTATACCATATAATTATATAATTACAGTAAATTGCTGAAGCATTTCATAAACTGTACTTTTTGTGTTTTAAAGTTTTCTTCTCTC